CGGAATCCTTCCGAAACTTTTGCTGTCGAGAGGTTCTTCAAAATGGAATGTCAAAAAAAAAAAAAAAAACATGACACAGGGTTTCGCAACGCGGGTTTTCAACGAACGCGCGCGCGCGTTCCTGCGAATTCTTAAGAAAACTGTCGGTTTCTCAACATCTTCAAGAACATATTAACCAGCGGGCTTCGCGCGCGCATGTCGACATCGCTCGAAAGCCCTTGCGCGCTTGCCGTCGCGAGAATCCCTTGCAGTAGATGAGACGAATGCACGCGCGCGCGCTGTCGCGCGCGAGCGTGCCGAAATACTAGAATAAATCTCGGTTTCGGAAGGATTTCAGAATCGAGTGTCCAAAACACATATGAATCATTTGGTTTCGCAACACGGATGTTCAACAAAAGCGTGCGCGCGATCTTGCGAATTTTTACGAAAAGCCACAAGTTGTTCAACATTGTCATAACATGCTACCAAACTGGCTTCGCGCGCGCGTGTCGAAAACGTTCGAAAGCCCTTGCGCGCGTGCTGGGGTGAAACGATCCGTGTCAAATAATGCTACGTGAGCCACTCTCGCGCGTCTGAGCGCGTATTTCGAATTCTTTCCAAAACATTCATCGCCGACGCGAAGACGCCGTCATCGTCGTTAGCGAGATCGGCATCGGCGCCGTCATCGCCATTGTCATCACCATCATCATCATCATCATCATCATCATCATCATCATCATCATCACCATCGTCGTGTCAACACTTGTCGTCACCAACATCGCCACTATCATCGTCATCGTGTCTACACTTGTCAACGTTGCCATGATACCGCGCCCGCCTGAGCCGCTGACCCGCGTTCGAGTGCCCACTGGGATGTGCCGAGCGGTCAGCACCGCCGCGGCCTCGTCGGTCGCGCCGAACTATCTGGCCGCTGCGCGCGCGCATGCGCGGGCTGGCGCGGCCGCACAGATGCACCATCCATCGCCAAACACTCATCGCAATCGCCGCCGCATGAGGTTTGCAAGCCAAGTTGCGGGTGGGTGGGTGGGATGGTTGTGCGAGCAGTGGAATCGACAATCTCTCGAGTCGAGGCGGGTTGTTCGTGGAGCGAAAAGGGGGGAGGACCCCCCATCCACCTTCCATGGGAGAGGTGCGGCCTGCGCAGCTCGTGGTCTCCCCCTCCACCCTCCACGCTCGCTCCTTCACTATCGTCCCCATGAGGAAGCCCGCCCCTCCAGCGTCCACCGTCCTCTTGCCCACTCCTCCTCCCCCCTCCTCCCCCGTCCTCTTCATCCTTCCTCCCCCCTCCTTTTCCTCCTCCTCCTCCTCCTCCTCCTTTTCCTCCTCCTCCTCCTCCCCCTCCTCCTCCTCCTCCTCCTCCTCCTCCTCCTCCCCTCCTCCTCCTCCTCCTCCTCCTCCTCCTCCTCCTCCCCCTCCTCCTCCCTCTCCTCCTCCTCCTCCTCCGCGTTTTCCTCCTCCTCCTCAGCCCTCCTCTCCCCTCCTTATCCTCCTCCTCCTCCTCCTCCTCCTCCTCCTCCTCCTCCCTCCTCCTCCTCCTCCTCCTCTCCTCCTCCTCCTCCTCCTCCTCCTCCTCCTCCTCCTCCTCCTCCTCCTCCTCCTCCTCCTCCTCCTCCTCCTCTCTCCTCCTCCTCCTCCTCCTCCTCCTCCTCCTCACCTCCTCCTCCTCCTCCTCCTCCTCCTCCTCGTTTTCCTCCTCCTCCTCAGCCTCCCTCTCCCCCTCCTATCCTCCTCCTCCTCCTCCTCCTCCTCCTCATCCTCCTATTCATCCTCCTCCTCATCCACTTCCCCCCTCCTTATTCGCACATCCTCCTCCACCCTGTTCCTTCTCCACACTCGCCGCCCGTCCACCCTCCACCCTTTTTCCTTCTCATCCGCCCTCTCTCCCTTTCGTCCCTCTCGGCCCCTGCGCGCGCGTGGCCTCCCCAGTTCCATGGAGAGGGGAGACCTCCCCCTCTGCCATCCCCCCGTCCTTCTCCTCCCCATGAGAGAGCGGCCTTCCCACATCCCTCTTGCATCACGTTTGCACCGAATTGCTAGCGTTCCGAATTTCCGAACTTTCGAATTTTTCGGCACTTCCATCTTCGAATGTCCAGCATCGTCAGAGTTTTTATCCGGACGAAATCCCGAATCTTCGGCGCCACGGCGCCACTGTTCCGCTCCTCGAGGGGCCGCGCCCGCGGCGCGCAGAGTGGCGCGTGTGCCTGGTCTCTATACCTACTCATGCGAGGGCGAGCGGCGGCCTGTGCAGCGCGCGGCCCCCGGCGGAGAGCACACAGCCGCGCCTCCCGAGGAGGAGGAGGAGGAGGAGGAGGAGGAGGAGGAGGAGGAGGAGGAGGAGGAGGAGGGGGAGGAGGAGGAGGAGGAGAGGAGGAGGAGGAGGGGAGGAGGAGGGGGAGAGGGGAAGGAAGGGGACGAGGGGGAAGGAGGGGGGAGGAGGGGGGAGGAGGGGGGAGGAGGAGGAGGAGGAGGAGGATGAGGAGGAGGAGGAGGAGGAGGAGGAAGGAGGAGGAGGAGGAGGAGGAGAAAGAGGGAGAAAGAGGAGAGAAAGAAAGAGAAGGTGGAGAAGAGTGGGAAAGAGGAGAAAGAGGAGGAAAGAGGAGAGAAAGAATGAGGAGGGGGGAGGAGGGAGGGAGGAGGAGGAGGAGGAGGAGGAGGCCGGAGGAGGAGGAGGAGGTGGAGGAGGAGGAGGAGGAGGAGGAGAAGGAGGAGGAGAAGGAGAAGAGGAGGAGAGAGGATGGGAGGAGAGGGAGGAGGGGAGGAGGAGGAGGAGGAGACGGGAGGAGGGGAGGAGGGGGGGAGGACAAGCTAGGTGCGCTCGCGTCATATCTGACGTCCTACCCCTCCCTCCCATCCCTTACCATGGCGCTGATTTTCTCTATCCGCGGACGCGTGTCGTAGCGGACCTGTGGCTCCGCGCGCGCGTGCGTAGTGGGTGGTGGTGCACGTGCGTGCGTGCGTGCGTGTGTGCGTGGTTGTCATGGTGGTGTGTGGTGGTGGTGGTGGTGGTGGTGGTGGTGGTGGTGGTGGTGGTGGTGGTGGTGGTGGTGGTGGTCGTGGTGCGTGGTGGTGGTGGTGTGTGGTGGTGGTGGTGGTGTAGTGGGTGGTGGTGGTGAACAGGTGGTGGTGTGGTGATGGTGGTGCTGGTTGCTTGGTGCTGGTGGTGGTGGTGCTGGTGGTGGTGGTGCTTAGGTACTGGTGCTGGTGCTGGACTGGTGCTGGTGCTGGTGGTGGTGGTGGTGGTGGTGGTGGTGGTGGTGGTGGTGGTGGTGGTGGTGGTGGCGGTGCGGCGCGGTGGTGGCGGGCGGATGGGCGCGCGAGAAAAAGGCCCGCGCTGGGGCGAGAACGCCATCCTGAACGACGGAGGCCAAACACCGATCCGAAAATGAGGCCCACGCTGCAGCGGGAGCACGATTCGGAACGATTCGGGAGCAGAAATGAGGCCGGCGCCTCAACGAGAGCAGCATTTTGGGAAAAAATGACGCCGGCGCCTCAGCGAGAGTCGTTTCCCGGGATTTCCCGGGGATCCTGTGTGTAGAAAAACAGTACGCGGAGGGTGCGCGGCCATCACCCAGACGCCATCAGGGGAAGAGGGAGAGTATTTTCATATTGAGTAATTGCTGGAGGAGGAGGAGGAGGAGGGAGAGGAGGAGGAGGAGGAGGAGGAGGATGAGGAGGAGGAGGAGGAGGAGGAGGAGGAGGAGGAGGGGTGAGGAGGAGGAGGGAGGAGGAGGAGGAAGGAGGAGGAGGAGGAGGAGGAGGAGGAGGAGGGGAGAAAGGAGGAGGAGGAGGAGGAGGAGGAGGAGGAGGAGGAGGAGGAGGGGAGGAGGAGGAGGAGGAGGGGGAAGAGGGGAAGGAAGGGGACGAGGGGGAAGGAGGGGGGAGGAGGGGGGAGGAGGAGGGAGGAGGAGGTAGGAGGAGGAGGAGGAGGAGGAGGAAGGAGGAGGAGGAGGAGGAGGAGGTGAGTGGAGGAGGAGGAAGGAGGGGAGGCAGGAGGTGAGGAGGAGGGGAGGAGGAGGAGGAGGACGAGGTGGAGGAGGAGGAGGAGGAGGAGGAGGAGGAGGAATCACAGTGCTGTTGCCGCTGTCGTCTGTGCAGCGCGGGCTTCCACCCCTGAGATCCTGGCGACTCTATGTTTTCGAGCCGGGCTTTTTCGCATCATGTCGGGCCCCAGGACCCTCACAGATCGATCTGGCTCGAAAATGGCGCAGAAAGATAGGGTCTAGGGCTCCAAGCTCGATTTGTCAAGGCGTCTCCATGTTTTGCGACGTCGGATCTCACGGACTGACCACCTTGCCATTCCCTGCCAGGCCCAGGCCCTGGAGGGAAGAGACGCAATTATGTGCCGAGGCCCTTGGCCCAGGTTGCGCCCTGCCAGGACCGGCGAGGTGCACAGTGGACGCCCTGAACTGGCTAACAGCGACGTAGGTAACGGAGATCCAGGTTTGGTATTGTGGGAACGCGTGGCTCGCGCTTTCCTACAATTTGCTGTGTCGTGCTCGCTCGATCCGTTCGCAGATTGGACATGCAGGAAAGTGTGGCTCGTGATTTCCTACAACTTGGTTCCCAACATCACCGTTAAGGAACACCGCCGTTTTCTTCTTTTGTTGGCCTCCGCACCGGCGGCCACAGGTCCAGCGCTAGCCGCGCGTCGCGCGCCGCCCGCGCCCAGCCCGCGGGCCCCCGCGGTGCCCCGTCGCGCGCTTGGAGAGATGCGGGCGAGGCGGGGCGCAGGGTGCCCCCGTCGAAGGTCGGGTCTTTCACAGCCCTTCATGAGGCACCAAGGCCGTTAGCCCGGCCGTGGTGACGTCCCCCGAGTCCTGCTGCAGCACCTCCTCCTCCTTCTCCTCCTCCTCCTCCTTCTCCTCCTCCTCCTCCTCCTCCTCCACCCTCCTCCTCCTCCTCCTCCTCCTCCTCCTCCTCTTCCTCCTCTTCCTCCTCTTCCTCCTCCTTTTCGTCCTCCTCCTCCTCCTCCTCCTCCACTACCCTCCTCCTCCTCAGAGGAGCTCCTCATCAGGCAGCAGGTGCTGCAGAGGTGCCTGCTCCCGGACCAGAAGCCGCACGGCCGGGGCCTCGGCGGCGCCTGGGCGGGCCGAGTCAGGGGGCTGCGCTGCGCTGCGAAGGGCAGCGTCCTGCTCTGAGGAGGAGAACAGGAGGAGAAGAGGAGGAGGAGGAGGAGGAGGGGGAGGAGGAGGAGGAAGAGGAGGAGGACGAAGGGGGAGGAGGAGGAGGAGGAGGAGGAGGAGGAGGAGGAGGAGGAGGAGGAGGAGGAGGAGGAGGAGGAGGAGGAGGAGGAGGAGGAGAGGAGGAGGAGGGAGGAGGAGGAGGAGGAGGAGGAGGAGGAGGAGGAGGAGGAGGAGGAGGAGGAGGAGGAGGAGGAGGGGGGAGGATCAAGGTTCCAGGGTCGAGGTTTGTGGACGTCTCCGGTCCTTGTCGGTCTTTCGAAGACTTCAGAGGCATCCGGCGGCCTCCCTGGGGACCTCCTGGAGACGTCGCGAGACCCGGGAGACCTCCTGGAAGAGGGCGCGGAGGAGAGGGAGGAGGGACTCGAAGGCCCAGGCGCGCAAGAACGGCACACGAAAGGTGGAAATGGCACACCCGTGCTTCAGAAGGCACCGTCGCCTTGCACCCTCATCCTCATCCTCACGCTCTCCCAGAGGGGGAAGGCGTTAGCATGTGAGTTCTTTCGTCCGTCGCGTCATTATCATCTCCCAGGAGGTAGCGTTTGAAGTCGAACGATCGCTTGCGGCATTGAAAACATCATGTGATATCATGTGTTACACCAGGGAGCATGATCTGGGCAAATAGTGTAAACAAGGAGATCATGTGTGATTCATCATGCTCTACATCTGTGTGGTCGAACGTCAATGTTTCGCTAATTTTCGTGGTTTGCTTGCTGATTAGTCGGTTGGTTGGTTCGGTTGGTTAGTTCATTGGCTGGTTGGCCAGTTGGTTGGTCGGTTGGTTGGTTGGTTGGCTGGTTGGTCGGCAAGCTGGTTTATGGTTTGTTGGCTGGTTGGCTGCTTGGTTGGTTGGTTGGTTGGCTGGTCGGTTGGTTGGCTGGTGGTCAGTTGGTTAGTTGGTTGGTTTTCTGGAGTCTCACTAAGTCCAAAAGTGCGAGCCTCCTACCCAAGCGATCTCCTGCCTGCGCCATGCGAAGTGCGTTCTGCGTCAAGCTCGAGGCAGGGTGATATGCACTTGTTTCTCTAATGTTGCCCGTTGAAGGGCCAGGTCGGGGTACACTGACCAAGCATGCAAGATTTCACACGTCGCGGCGAGCGCGACGCAGACGAGAAGGGACTACGTATATACACCTATACATTCGTAGCTATACATCCATCTGCATTCATACATCATAACATGTCAGGTCATGTCACGCCGTATCTTATCATATCATGTAATGAAATAATACATCGTACCATATCATATCATGCCATACCATGTGAGATCCAGATCATGTCATACAATATCGTAGCATACCATGCTTTATCGTATCGTACCAAACCACATCAGATCACATCATTTCATACCATACCATCTCATAGCACACACAAGCGAGTACAATCAGATCACCTCGTATCATATCATATAATGTCATATCCTATCATATCATATCATATGAGAGCACTTTAAAACATATCATGCGTGTGTATATATACACGCAGATCGCCGCAATGCCAGGCGGGGGAAACATCGGAAGTTGGGGGGTGAGATCGCAGTGGAACGGAGAGCCCGCCACCAGGAAATCGGTTTCGGTTTCGTGTTCGTGTCGTGCGTGTGGGCGAGGCGAGGCTGCGTGGGCGCGCGAGAGGAATCATCCCGCCGTCGCTAGGGCGATTAGGCTGCAAAAGTCTGACCCTCTGGTGGGCGCGCGGTGGCTGGGGGTGTCCCGCCGTGGTGTCTCGCGGTGTCCCGATGGTGTCCTGCGGTGTCTCGCTGTGGCCGCTCGAGAGGAATCATCTCGGTGTTGGTAGGGCGATTCGGAAGTCCGGCCCTCCAGTGGGCGCGCGGTGGCTGCGGGTGTCCCGCCGTGGTGTCCCGCGTTGTCCCTATTGTGTCCCGCGGTGTCCCGCCGTGGTGTCCTGATGGTATCTCGTAGTGTCCCGTGGTGTCCCGCGGTGTCCCAGTGGTGTCCCGCGATGTCCTGTGGTGTTCAGTGATGTCCCACGGAGTCCCGCGGTGTCCCGCCATGGTGTCCCGATGGAGTCCCGATCAATTGTGAGATCGATTACGACCAAGATGTGGTGAGACCGGTAGTGAGATGGATAGTTGGATCGATAGTGAGGTCGACAGTGAGATCGGTAGTTGCATCGATCGTGCCAGTGGCAGTGAGATTGATAGTGAGATCGATAGTTGCATCGACAATGCAACCGATAGTGAGGTCGATAGTGTGATCGATTGTGAGATCGACAGTGACATCGATAGTGGAATCGATCGTGATCTCGATTGTGAGATCGATTGAGATCGGTTCAGATATTGAATGTGAAATCGATAGTGAGATCGGTCGAGTAAGATCGATAGTAAGATCGATCGTGAGATCGATAGTGAGATCGATTGTGAGATCGATCGTGGGATCGATAGCGAGATCTGTGGAGTGACATTGATCGTGAGATCGATCGTGAGATCGGTTGTGAGATCGATCAAGTGAGACAGGTAGTCAGATCGACCATGTGATCGACAATTTAATAGCGGGGTCGATAGTGACATCACATCGCGGCGCAACATCGTCATGACGCGTCGTCGCCAATTCGAGGGCGCGCCACCTGCATCGTCATCATCACACCCATCGCAGTTGCCATCAGTTGTTTTTTTCCACTCCCCCCGTACCTCCTCATCACCAGAAGGGTGGCCGTAGATGTATCAAGTGCACCATCTGTGCATTTTGCAGAGCACGCGCCGCGGAGAACGCGAGGCGTGATATGATCGCTAGGATCGAAGTGCTTGCGGCAAATCCGCCACCGCGCCAGAGAAACACTCACTGTGGTGAACCTTCGGAGCACCGCCCGGAAGGCCGTCATGGGTGACACCTCTCGTCTTCACTGCTTGGGGAGCTCTCGTGAGGCTTCCTTGGGCCGCCTTAGAGCTTCCTGGGACTCATGTGGGGCATTCTTGGGGGTCCCTTGCAGCCATCTTCGGTCGTCGTGGAGCTTTCTTGGGCCGCCTCGGGGCCGTATTTGGCTGTCTTGGGGCAAGTTTGGCCGTCCGAGGGGTATCTTGGGGTCGTCGTGGGGTCGTTTGAGGGCCCTCGTAGGCCGTATTGGGGGCCTTCTTCAGCCGCCTTGCGTTCATCTGGAGGCCTTTTGGGCCAGCTTGGAGCTCTCTTGAGGCCGTCCTTGGCCGTGTAGGGGCCCCCATTGGGGGGTTTTCGAAACTCCTGAGCGGAGCGATCTTCGACCCAATCGCATGGAAAACGGCAAACGCTGAATGTCCTAAAGCGGGAATCAACATGTGATCGTTTTTTATTCATTGTTTTGCCGATCGGCGCGGGCCCCAAACCGCCCCTCCCCCCCCAGTGGGGTGGATCTTGGCTGTTTGGCGTCTGTTTTCAGGCAGGTGGAGTCTCCCCCATATGACGCACTGCTGCAAACAGTCGCACTAAACAGAGGTCCGGAGCCAGACCCTCCCCCCCACTTCCGCCCAATGTCGAAACGCCGAATAAAAAAACGCCCACAAATGAATATGTGTTGGTTTTTCGAGGCTCGCATCTTGGGGCCCGCTTGGGGCCGTATCGTGGTTCTCTTCGGCTGCTCTGGGGCCGCCCCGGAGCCCTTCTTGGCCGACCTGGGCCGCTCTTGGGCCTTCTCCTGCACCGTCTTGGACGCTCGAAGTTCAGGCCGGAAAGACAGCAATCGGCACATCATTCAGAGGTTGATAGACCTCTTACCCTGACACGTCGATTAGCGAATTGGCAGTTTTCTGTTCGCGAGAGGGCGTCGCGGCCGTCATTTTTGCGGGTCCAGGTCCAGCGGTTTCGGTCCTAGGCCGTTTTCATTTAAGGGTGGTTTACTAAAGGGAGTAGTAGTAGTAGTAGTAGTAGTAGTAGTAGTAGTAGTAGTAGTAGTAGTAGTAGTAGTAGTAGTAGTAGTAGTAGTAGTAGTAGTAGTAGTAGTAGTAGTAGTAGTAGTAGTAGTAGTAGTCAGTTTGGCTCCTGCCGCCGTGCTTAGGGCATCCCAGCCAGCAACGTAGCGCCCGTCCCGAGCCTCTGCCCAGACCGCCAGCAATGGGCTTCTCGCCAACGCTTATCCTCGCCCTGGCCGTCGCCCCCTCGGGCGCACTGGCGGCTCGCATGCGCGCCAAGAGGGCGGATTCGGTGGCAAATCATGGGAGCATTGTGTACCCTCGCAGTTCTATCTTCGGAGTGCACTGGCGTCGATATAGCGTATGGCAATCGATGGGATAGTGCCGACTTAGCGTCGATGAGAGTCGATGTAGCGTCGATTCAGCGTCGATTAGCGTCGATTCAGCGTCGATTAGCGTCGACGAGCGTCGAGTCGCAAGAGCCCACAAAATGGTATGGGAGACTCCCATGAGTTGCCATAGAAGGCGGAGCCTCTGGACCAATTCGACACCAGCTGCTACATGGTCGGCGACGGTGGCTCGAGCTACCGCGGGCTGGTCACGTCGACGTTCAGCGGGCGGACCTGCCAGAGGTGGACCGAGCAGAAGCCCTGGCCAGTGACCCAGACCCTCTCGAGCGACAATGGCCTCTCGAAGAAGAAAAAACGGCATTACCATCAACTTTTGGCGCTCCGCGCGGATTTCTTGCATCCGCGCTGTGGCCCCCCTGGCGTTGCCTCCGGCGTTGCCCCTGGCGCAGATCCAAGAGTTCCGCGCGGACCTTCGAAAGTTTATGTTTATGCCTTTGTGTGCTCCTCCAGGCCTCGGCAACCACAACTACTGCCGCAATCCGGACATGAGCCAAAAGATGCCCTGGTGCTACACGATGGACACCAACGCGGAGCACAAGATCGAGACGTGTGCCATCCCAGAGTGCCCCGCAGTGGCCCGCGACTTCACCGACGAGGCCGACACGCTCGCAACCTCCATCGAGGCCACGGACTGCGAGTGCGCCGACCAGTTGTACGGCAGCTCCCAGACCACCGCCGACACATCCGTCGCCCTCGCCCAGGGCAACAAGACCGTCGCCAAGCGCAAATGCCGGTGCACGAAGAAGGTTCACAAGGCGTCAGCAATCAGCGTCGGAAGCAAGAAGGGCGCCAAGACCCGCATCTGCCTGGCCAGCGAGCTGTACACAAACACTCACACCGATACTGGCAGCGGCGTGACCGCTTGGGCAGAGTCCAGCGCTGCCGAGGGCAAATGCCACACCGCTGAAGGCACAGCCGCGTTCAAGCTTTGCGGCCCCGCCACCCTGGAGGTGTTCACTGGCATGAACTGCGACGGGACGAGCGAGATGCTGCTCCATACTGTCAGCAACACGACCGCCGCCGATTGCAGCGAGATCTCGAAGCCCGACGGGGGCTACTGGAACAGCTTCAAGTACGAGTGCGGGATGGGCAACAGGTGAGGGCTGAGGGCCGCCAGCAGACTGGGGTGGCTTTGCCTTCCTCCTCCTCATCATCATCCTAATCATCATCGTCACGATCACCGTGACGCAAATTAGAAGTTCGTTGTGCATGGAGGACCAGTCGTTGAACAGCAGCGCGGTTTGAGCAGAGGTATGCTGGCCGCCTTGGGCCAGCCCTGAGGGGGCATTGGTCTCCTCACCGGCCAGGTGGGGCCCTGCACCGGCCAGGTGGGACCCTTCACCGGCGCAGGAGCCACCGGAGGGCGCGGACGAGACCACGGAGGCTCCTGCGGAATCCTGCTGGGGGCAAGGACGTGCGCACCAGCGAGGCGAGAGCCCAGCCGAAGGGTCCCACTTGGCCGGTGGAGGGGTCCCACCTGGGCGGGGGAGGGTCCCAGCTGGCCGGTGAGGGCACTTTTCTCGCCCTCAGGGCCCCCCAAAATTACACAAGATGCCCCTACGAACGCTTCGTAGGCCTCCTCGGGGTCGCTCTGGAGCCATTTTGGCCTCCTAGGAGGAGGCGTCCTGGCTGCCATTTCTGAGCCGTCGTGGGCGTCTTGAGGCCATCTGGGCTTAAGTCGGGCGTGTCCATCTACAGGAGGAGTATTCAAAAATAGTCAAAAGTGGTATGGGGACGATGTTTTGACATTTGTGGACTATTTTTGAATAGTAGTTTTGGCATTTTTTCATTTTTCGCCCAACATCCGCCTGTAGGGGGGACATGCCCGACCTGACCCGAGGCTGTCCTGGAAGTGGGCCTCGTGAGCTCGGCGCGCTTGCGGCGAGGGCGGCGGCGGAGGGAGCGCCGTCGTCGGAAACGCTGTCGACGTCCGTCTTCGTCGACGTCTGCAGGCGGGCGGCGGCTCCGAGCTGCCGTGCCTTCTGCTGCCCGGCCCTCGGGCTTAAGGCATCCTGGGGCTATGCTGGGACAGCCTGGCCGCCTTGCTGGGCGTAGGGGGGTGCCCCACGGGAGCCTCTCGAGGCCTCTCGGGCCACCCTGGGACACGTCGGGCAACATCGAGGCTGTGCTGTTTCTTACGGAGTCCATCTTGGAGGCCTTTGGGGGCATCTTGGATTCATCTTTGGGCCTTGTCGGGCCGTCCTGGGCGATATAGTTAACATGGTGGGGCCTTTTGGGGCCACCTTGGGTAATATCGGATACCCGTGGTGCCATATTCAAGCGATCGTGGGACATCCTCGAAGCAAGCAATGGGACACACAATCAACAACGAAAGTCTTATGATTTGTCAGCCATGTTGTGCTCTCTCGGGGGCTCCTTAGGTGACCTCCTGGGTCATCTCAGAGCCATCTTGGGCTGTTGGGGCACTCTTCCATGCCTCCTGAGCTCTCTTGGCTGCCTGGTGGCGGTCCTTCCTGGGCATCCTGGGGCAACCTGGAGCTGCTGAACAAGGCTGAGGGGCCCTCCCCAGGTGGCGTTGGGTTGAGGCTGTGGGCCTCCCTAGCAGACAGCACAGCAGGGACAGGACTGGAGGGGCAAGAGACCAAACAACAGAACTTGGCATCGTTCGGGCGTGTTTTTTCTCGGCGAAGACCATCGTGGAGCATCTTGGACCATCTGGCGAAAAATAAACGCACGAAACCGAAAAATGCACGGGGAATGGACGTCCGAGCGATGGCAAGAAAATACACAGCAGAGAAAGCAAGACCGCTGCCGAGAGTGTGGTTCGCCCAGGGGACTCTGCCGACCTCCGCCGGTCCGAGGCCGACTCCAACAGGCTTCCGACGATCCCCCCCAGACTCTGGAACCGCCTTATTTTGGGCGATTCCGAAGGGAGGCGGAACTGCCGCCCTACTGTTCAGTCTCCTTTGATGCTGATTGTCGCCCTATTTTGCTGGTGCTGTTTCTACCATATTTTTGCGTACATATCCGTCCTACTGGTCCGAGGCGGAGCTTTTCTCTTCGTTCTACTCTTTCGCATCGTTTGGGGTGCATCTCCGAGACAGTAGTACGTCGGGGAAACAAGCAAAGCACGGCGGATCCGGAGTCAGGGCAGTCCCTCCTGCTCCCTGCTCTCGCCCCTCCGAGTGCCGGCGACGTCACTCTCAGATCCCCGCATGCAGGTTTTTTTCAACCTGGGCGATGTCGGGGCCTCTGGGGCCCCTTTCCGGGCCCCAGCACAATCAAGAATCGATCCGGGGGCGAAGACTTGGCCCTGGGGGAAGGGCCTGGACCTCAGGGAGCGCGCGTTGGAAAAAGCGTATCGTCGGATGTCTGGGATTATCCGCTACCGCGTGCACCTGTCAGGATTGATTGGCTCGCCATCTGCTGGTCATTGGAGCCAGCCTTCGGCTCGGTTGGGCTTCAGTCTGTCAGTCAGGGCACGTCTCCGTGCGTCTGGCTTGAAGGAGGGAAGAAGGAAAGCGGGGCAGCCCAAACATAATCAGCGGGGGTCCATACGTGCTCGCCATGGCGGCACATGCGACGACGCTGATTTTCAGCGCACTTTTCTTGGTAGACCGGTAGTTGCCGCCACCGCATTCATGGATTCGAAAGAGATTTCGCACTGCACGCGACAGTTCATAATTTGCCTGGATGGCCCATGTGCGCGCCCCAGCGGCAATTGCGACGACGTTGATTGTTACCGCATCTGATGTGGCAGACTGGTACGATGGGGGCGTTGGTTAAGGAATGCGTCCAGGGTGCTGCAGACCCTGGAGGATTCCTTATCTGATGAGGGCGGCGGTGATATCCATGGCGAAGCCTCGTTTGGAGTTCCACTGGCCTCCAGACCCTGGATTCCTTATCTAAGGGTTCCTTGTCCAATGCCCCCACCGTAGTCACCGCCACCGCACTGGTGGATTCTGATGAGGCTTTGCACTGAATCGTCCGCACGGGACCCACTGCTCAGTGACACTGCTCTGCAGCGCTCAGCGTGTCGCTCCGCCGGCTCTGGCCCGCTTCGAGCTTCGGCGCGCGACGCGCTGCCTCTGCGTCTCCGCCCCCGAGCGTCCACGTCCCGAGCCCTTCCGGCCCGCCCGCCCCACGGAGCGGAGCGACGCGCCATCCGCTCGGAGGGCGCAGCGTGTCGCCGGGCCCGCCGCCGCGGCACGCGGTCCGAAAAAGGTTCTTGGCCGTGCGTGCGGCCTGGTGCGAGCCATCTGCGTGGCCGGACATGCTGGCCGCCCGAGAGGCGTGCGCGCGGCCAACCCCCGATTCTTCAGAGACGTCTCCTCGCTTCTGCACCCCCCCGCCATCGTCGTCGGCGTCGGCGTCGTCGTCGTCGTCGGCGTCGGCGTCGGCGTCGGCGTCGGCGTCGTCGGCGGCGTCGTCGACGAGCAGCTGGTCGCCCCGCGAAGCGACAAGGTGATCTCTCTCTCTCTCTCTCGACACGCGCTGCTGGCAGCCAAAAGATTGGGCGAGGGCGGAGGCTCGCCGCTCCGACCGCCGACGCCGTCTGCCTCGTCGCCGTCGTCGTCGCCGTCATCGTCGTCGGCAGCGGCGTCGTCGTCGTCGGCCTCGTCGGCCTCGTTGTCGTCGTCGTCGTCGACGACGACGATGCCGACGCACGGAAGGCGGGGCAGCCCAAGCATTAGCAACGGGGCATCCGTACGTGCCGCGCAAGCGCGCGGCACGCGGGCACGCCGCGGCTGCGTGAGGCGCCCTCCTCGCGGACGGCGGGGGCGTCGTGGGCCTCACGCCGCTGCCCCTCGGGCGCAACGGGGGGGGGCCTGGCAGACGACGGGGAGGCCGCCGACGACGGCGACGACGACGGCGACGACGACGACGACGCCGACGATGTCGACGACGACGACGACGACGTCGACGACGACGCCGACGCCGGCGCCGACGCCGGCGAAGCCAAGGACAAAGACGAAGACGAGGACGAGGCCGACGAGGCCGACGACGACGACGCCGACGACGAATACGACGAAAACGACGACGAAGACGACGACGACGGCGACGGCGGCGAGGACGACGACGGCGGCGGCGGCGGCGTCGGCGGCAGCGGCGGCGACGGCGGCAGAGGATGGTGAGAGTCGAAGAGGAAGACGCGTGTAAGCGTAGACTTTCGGAGGTCCGCGCGAGTTTCCTGGATCGGAGCTTGGGCCCCCGCTCCGGCGCGCGGAGCGCGCCCGCTGCGGCGTGAAGGGGCGCCGTTGTGGGAGCCTAGCGAGGGCTCAAGAAGTCCGCGCGGGCCTCAGGTTGTGTTCATGTAGTTGTTCTGTGTCTCTGGGCACGGTCGGACGCTTCGAGGTGGGTATTCCGATTTCTGCTGGTTGTGAGTTCCCCCCCGTTATGGGCGCTTCTCCGTCCGTCTTGGAGCCGCCTGGTGGTCTGGGGGGCTCTGGAGAGGGTGGGGAGAATGAGAAACGCAAGGAGGTGTAGGAGAAGGCGAACGAAGATGAGGAGTGGGAGAAAGAGGAGGCGGAGGATGAAAAGGAGGAATGGGAGGCGGATGAACACGAGGAAGAGAAGGAGCGGAAGGAAAATTGTGATGGTGGTGATGGCCTGTTCTCGAACGATAATCGCTGGGGCGTTGAAGGCCGCGCGGGTTCTCCGAAACCGCCCCGGCTCAAGCCTTTTCTGTGAGGGCCTCAGGTGGCCGTGCCCCCTTCGGGGCCCGCATGCGCGCTGCTGCCCGCGGGGGAGGGCTGATCGCCTTCCACCTCCTCGCCGCCTGGGTGGCGCGGCGTGGGCGCCGCTGCCTGCGGCGCTGCCCGTGCCGGAGCCGCCGCGGGCGGCACCAGCGCCCGCTCCGCCTGCGCGGAGCTGCCCGGCGGCCGCGCAGCTCGCCCCCGCGCAGGTCTCAGACCTCTGCGCGGAGATCGCCCGGTGCCTGCCGGCGGCGCCGCTCCCGTCCTGGGAGGTCTGCCCAGATCCCTGCCCGGCCTGCCCCAAGCCGGAGGAGGGTGGCTTCAAGTGGGGCATCGAGCTCGGCGTCGGGTTTTTCACCCTCCTGCTCTGGGAGGCCGTCACTCCTTGCTGGGCTGCGCTGCGCAGCCAGGTGCGACGCCTGCTCTCAGGCGCGCGGGCGGCTGGGCCCCCAGCGGCGCCCGCGGCTCTGGAGGACGGCAGCCCGTCCGCCCAGGTGGATCGACGCTTTCCAGGTGGCAAGGGTAGGCTGGTGGCTGCCTGATGAATGTCGGCGATGAGCTGCTTGTCTGCTACGACGTTCCTGGCGTTCCTCTGCTCCATCGCCGCATTGTTGTCCGCGTCAGCCAGGTGCAGCCGCTGCACGCCGCCGTGGTCTCGCCCGACTTCGACCTGTTCATCGAGCACTTCACGGACGACAACGACGACATCGCCGCCTGGTATCGATGCGGACCTGGCGGGGCAGTGCCGGCAGGACTGGTCGGGGTGGCGCTATACGACTTCCAGCGGCCGCTCACAGCCCAGGAGTTCTTCAACCTCGTCCCGAGGGCCGAGGGTCTCGTCCGCGAGCACGACGGGCAGCTCGCCGCCGCGGCCGGCCCAGGCGCTGCCGGCGCCCACGGAGCGGTGGTCCCGCTTGGGCCCTCGGCCGCAGGCCAGGCCGCCGCGCCCGCGGCTGGTGGCGGCGCGCCCGTGCTGGGAGTCGGTGCTGGAGCGGCCGGCGGCCTGGCTGCGCTCCTGGGCGCCCGCCCCCCCGGTGGTGGCGGACCTCACGGCCCGCCGGCGGCTGCCGGCGCGCCCGCCCCTGGAGCGGCCGCGCTGGCCGCCCCCCCGCCGGCTGCATCTCCCGCCCCCGCCGCTGGCGCGGCCCCGGCGGACGGAGCCGCCGGGCACGCCGGGCTCGCTGCTGCGCTGGCGGGCCCCGGCGCCCCTGGGCAAGGCGCTGCCGCTGCTGGGGCCGCGCCGGGCCTCGCCGACGCCGGGGCCGCCGGCAGTGCGGCCGACGACTGCAGGACGCTGGCCGTCGCCTATGCGACATCGACGGGAAGCGGCACCGGTCCTTCGCAGCGGGCGTCGCCCTCCTGGTCCCGACCATGTGGGGCGACTGGCCCATTCCGGGCCCCCGCGCGGTGCACTGGGTGGCGACCTTCATGCTGGAGAACGGCGGCAGCGCTATGGGCCATCATGTGCAGTGGAAGTCTAACATACGTCGCGGCCTCGAGGACGTCACGGTTTCGAACCACCTGGAGTGCAGCAAGATCTTCGAGGCGGCGCTGTGCTACGACCAGCTGGAGATCAGCAACCTCGCCTGCCTGGAGCTCGTCGGTCGTCAGCTTCAGGCATGCGAGGAGATCCACCGCGACCTGCTCTTCGGCACGAAGAAGGGCGAGTCAGACGGCCACGACGAGTACTACTACTTCACTGGGATGGCGTCGACCCGTGGCCTCATGGCGGCGCCGGCGCTCAGCACTTGGATCAGCGAGCAGGTCGCGCGCGAGAACGCCCTGGCCAAGGAGCGCAGGAAGGCCAGAGAGGAGCGCGCCCTCGCCAAGCCCAAGGGAAGGGCTAAGGGCGGCCAGGAGTGACCCTAGGCCCGCCCGTCGCAGATCAGGCTGCCTGCTGCTCCTTGGCTCCAGGCTGGCAGGCCTTCGACTTTTCAGCCACATCGGGATGTCTCGCCAGCGCGACGTCTTCCCGCTACCCTGTCTTCATGTTCCTGAAGCTCCTGGTCCCGGCCTGGGCGGCTGCCGCGCCGTCGCCCGCCGTGGCCACCGCCGTCGCCATTCCCTGCGCTGGGCCAACGACGGCATCGCCTCCCTCAACCAGCTCGCTGGACGCGGTGGGGAGTCGGTCGGCGCGCCGACCGCCGCCCAGCAGCTGAGCCTCCAGCACTTGGAGCGCAGCTACGCCGCCGTGGGCGCCTGCCCGGCCGACCTCCACCCCCGCGGGAGCCTTCGTGAGCACTGCGGCTCCGCCGTTCTGTACGGCGAGACTTCTACCACCGTCGTGCCATACAACAAGGACCTCGTGTCCTGGCCGGCTGTGGGCGCCACGCCTGTCGACCTGGCCAGCGCGCTCGCCGCCGAGCACCCTTCCTGGTGGAGGGACCTGACGGCCAAGATGCGACGACCTCCGGCGGCAGCGGCGGCCATTCGGTCTGAGCTCGGACTTCTCCGCCCCTGCGTCGACCCCGCCTTCCGCAACCAGCGCGTCTACGCCGACTTCGCCAAGGGGATGCTGGATCGCGGAATGGCGCGCCTCGAGCCCACGACGGCAGACGCGACCGTGGATTTGTTCTTTGCCAAGAAGAAATCTGGCCAGCAGCGTATCATCTTCGACACTCGTCTCGCCAACTGCGACTTCGAGCCGCCGCCGTCGACGCACCTGCCCTCAGCCTCGGCCTTCGCGAAGATGGAGACCAGCGAGTGCGACGTGGTCTGGTACTCGGTCGGCGACATCCAGAACGCCTTCTACGCCATCGCTGTGCCCCCAGAGCTGGGGTCATACTTCAGGCTACCCCCGGTTCGAGCAGGCGCCCTCGGCCGCCCTGAAGTTGGTGGTGAGCGGCCCTCGGCCGCCACTCTGCTCACCCCCGTGCTGACGGTGCTGCCGATGGGCTGGAGCTGGGCGCTTCACTTCTGCCAGCTGGTCACCGAGGAGGGCCTGGCTCGGGGCGGGCTCAGCGCGGACGTCCTAGTCAAGGACCGAGCCGCAGCCAGCCCCCTCGGGCCGACCCGCCCGTTGCAGGCGGCAGGCTACGTCGACAACTCCATGGTGCTTGGCGCTCCCTGCAGCCGGGTGGCCGCCGCGGGCAGGCGGGTGACGACCAGTTTCGACGACCAGGGCTTTTTGGTTCACGAGACCACCGCCGAGCCCGTCTGCGCGACCGACTTCGTGGGCCTCTCCTTCGACGGGAAAGCTCACGCCGTGCGGGTGGCCACTAGGCGGATGTGGCGCCTGCGGCTCGCGATCGAGGAACTGCTTGCGCGTGGCCGCTGCTCTGGTCACGTCCTGGAGGTGGTCCTCGGGCACGCTACCTGGATCATGCTGCTGCAGCGGTCGACCCTCTCGATCCTCAACGCCGTCTACCCCTTCATCAAGGTCCACCAGCACCAGGTCGGCGCGATCTGGGACTCCGTGGCGCGGGAGCTCCGGCAGGTCAGGAACCTCCCCCCGCTCTTCGTGGCGCACACCGACGCCGAGTGGTACCCCAACGTGACGGCCTCGGACGCCTCCCACTGGGGCTGCGGCGTCTGCGCGCGGGCTGCGCCCCCCGAGCTGGTTGGCCGCTGGGGCCGCGCGGCTGAGAAGTGGCGCTACAAGCAGGGCGCGGCCGCCGCGCGGGCGCACGCCTTCGAGCTGCACGACGCACTGGTGGAGGACGACTTGCCCGACAGCCTGCGCCAGGCCGACGAGTACAGGAGGGCCTACGACATGGCGGACCCGTCCTTCACGGACCCCGAGGCTCGGCACATCGTGGAGCCCTTCCCTTGGCGGGCTCCAGCGAACATCTTTCGCCTCGAGGGCCTCGCCCTGTCGAACGCCCTCCGGCACACCCTTCGGGACCGAAAGGCTTTCGGGACTCGAATCCTGGCCCTCGTCGACCACGTGGGCCTCGCCTTGGCCGTGGGTAAGGGCCGCTCCGCCGCCTTCCAGATTCGGGACGTCCTTCGAGAGTTTTGCGCTTTGACTCTCGGCTGCCGCCTGTACTTAGGTGTTCGTTGGGTCCCGTCAGAGAGGAACCCCTCAGATGCTCCGTCCAGAGGCTGCTACTACATCAAGGAGCAGGGCAGGCCCGACGGCGCCGCTGCGGCCACCGACCCAGTTCCTGGTGATGCTGGTCCTTGCCCTGTCCTGCCTGCCGCCCCACGCTTCCCCGACCTCGAGGCGGTCAGCCCCCTGCGAGGCCGGGGCCCTGGCGGCGGCGGCGGGAGGCTGGATGGCCCACCTGGCGGCTCCTTCAGCGACGGCTGCGCGGGCGAGGAAGACCCGATGCCAGCGATCATCGCCCAGCTCGGAGCTCCCCCCGGCCTCGTTCCAGCTCACCTACCTGGAGAGCCGCTCGATCGCCAGCCCGACGCAGAAGGACTACTTCACGAAGGTTCGCGCGTTCCTGGAGTGGGCGGTCGAGTCGAAGGTCGAGTGGGACTCGCACTGCGGCCTCGACCTAGGGCTGGCGCTCTACATGGACAAGCTCTTCTTCCTGGGGTGCGCCGGGGACGTGGCGAGCAAGACCCTAGCGGCGGTGAAGTTCTATTACCCCGAGGTCGGCCGCTACGGCCACCTCAGCTTGCCCCGGGCCAGCCGGGCGCTGGCGGGCCGGGGCAAGGTAGTGCCCCGGAAGACCCGCCTTCCAGTTCCCTGGGTGCTGGTGGCCGCGCTGGTGGGGCACATGCTCGCCAACAACCTGATCGAGCACGCGATCGCCACCCTGATCTCGTTCCACGCGTACCTCAGTCCTGGGGAGTGCGACGCGCTGACGTCGATGCAGCTGGTCCCTCCAGACTCGACGACGCGGACTGTTGCAGCACCGCGCGGACGGTCCTGTGACAGGCCGCAGCCCCGCTTGGCGCCACGCCGCGCGAGCCAGCGAGCGGGCTGGCCAGCGCTGCGGAGAGCCATTGGACAGCTGGGCGCACC